TATCGTTGAGCACACATTTACCAAACATACAGTGAGCCGGGTACGCTCTAACACAATCTTATCTCATTAAAAAATGTTCCTTCCTCAGGGTGTTATTAATCCTCAGCATTTACACATTTGGTGTTTTTTGGATCAGCAGTCTAAAGTTGATAATATCGTGGAATGATTAGAATCAAATTAGTGAACACAGAATTTAGTCCCCTCCATTGCCTCCACATTTCTTCATTCAGAAAATCTTGAAGGTCCAACTGACGGATGCCCCTCTCCCGTTTAATGTGGTACTTCAGTTGACTCCATGCCGATTCCACCTCTTGCGTGTGAATGCCTGTGAGAGGATCCACAAAATGATTTTGGTGAACAACAACCCTATGCAAAGAAACGTTAGGTACGTGAAGCGGCAAGTTCCTATAGGCAGCCCAGTCATCTGAGTGAACCTCTGACCTCGGAAGAAGAACCCTTTGCAATATTTGAGTTAATGTCGCTCTATCTCGCCGTGGAACCACCTGGAAATAACCGCGGCATGGGTTATACTCTGTTGAGATAACTCCAAAAACCCATACGTCGTCCCTTGGTCTTCGCCCTCGTTGATACTACAAGGAAACAATTAATACTCAAGATTATACGTGGGAAGTAGCACTTCTTTTGTCAACTTCACTGGGCATTACTGTAATGCTTAAAATTATTTATTAAATGATTAAAGGTTTAACTGGAAATACTGGTTTCAGTTGTGTTAAGGTTACATATGTAGCATGTACAAGACCCTGACTTACCTTGGATTTATGTTTAAACTGGCTTTCGTCGCATTTTACAACGTACACTCTACCCCCGAATGGAATAACGGGTCTATCTTGTAGATCTCTTCCACAATAATGCCGAAGTAATGCGTAGATGTTCCCGACAGTATTCTTCGACAGAGTGAGCATATTTGCAACAGTCGTACGTAGCTCACGAACGCTCCAGAAATACATACACAAGAGAATTTTTCCCAACGGGACTCTTGACAGCTCTCCAAAGAAACTTCCAGTTCGGAGAGATTTCTTACGTCGGCAGGTAGAGCACCTCCTATGTGAAAAAGAAGCAACACATGCATTTTAAAAATAAATGTCTGTTCTTTCAGGCCCTGATTACAACCATGGTGCTAGGGTACCTTAGGACTCCCGCCTTCCTTTTTCTCCTTTGGGGGAGGGTAGCTAGGGTAACCTTAGCTGCGCACCAGGTAGCCTGCGTAGCAGACGTTTTCAAAAAACGCACAACATTATTTTGTGCCATAAAAAGCAAGGTGACAATTCGCAATTCAAGATTATTTCAGTTTGGCTTTGGATAGAACATTGTCAAAATTTTCTTCGTAAAGTTTGTCGATCGTCACTGTCGCATTGGAGAATTGTTGATAGTTTTCAGTCAAATTTATGCCAAACTAAGGAAAATTAATTGTTTTGGCATCGTGACATCTTTGAAGTAATTCAGAGCTCTTTGAGTTTTAATGCCGTAGCATGCAAGTGGTCAGGAGGTGGTCATTTATGATGGCGTTACTTTCGAGTAATAATTTAACTTTTATTTCCGGAAGAGCGTTACAATCAGAGTGGGACTCCCATCTCGATTACTAGTTTACTCTATGACACCCTCAAAAATAATCACGAATCGGGGATTGATGTATCATCAAAAAGTCTCACCCGAATTCACAAAGCGAGGAGGAGACTCCCTGTTGTAAGCTCGATTAACAGCCGCTGTTCGGGAAAGGAGCCCGCGCTCCTCCCCCGAAGGTACGTGTGCGGCCCGCTTCCGAAAACCCTTACCCATTTATGACCAAAATCTGCGATTTTCCATACCTTATTTATTTTTGACCTGACCAAAAATTTGATACCCTATTTATGATCTGACTCTTACGTAATTAGGGAAATGGCTTTATCTATCATGCGTAGCAGGCGTTAAACGGGGTAGAGGGCAAAGCGCAGATGGGAGAAGAAGGGCGTGATGAAGAAGTAGCTTCTTCTAAAAAAAACCGAATTGAAAACTAGAGTGCAAAAATCGATACCCTACTTATTAGCAAAATGGCGGCAAAATGGCTAAAATCGATACCCAATTTACGACCAAAACGGCTGAAAAACCGTACCCTTTGGGGCCGCACATACCTATATAGCCCATGTAAGGAAGTAGCCCCCACCCCCGGGGCTTTAGTACTGCAATTTTTTAAATAGAATACTAACCATAGATACCCATCCACGTGATCTTCATTCCTCTCAGTCAACTCCATTGCTCGATTGCATGGCCTGCATCTTAGTGGATTGGCCAGCAAATTGTGACCCTGCAACCATCGAATCAACTCTAAAATAGGACCGTTTGAAAGGGTCGTAATATCAATGAGGTTCATTGTTTGCCCAGTGCTGCGATATTGACAGTCTCGACGAATGGTCTCTAACACGGTACTTCCTGTAAAATCTCCAAATATGGTAATGATTCCAAACAACTCTGCACTGAAACATGAGTACCGTGGACCACGCGGCACATCGTATTGTCTTCCTTCGAATCGTTTAGTGTGGTGTACGCAGAAATTCCATAAGAATGTCGGACAAAGGTGGTCGAAAACCAAGAGCCAGGAATCTCTCCAGAACTTTTATACTTCTGAGATCAGATGATTCGAATAGTCGCGTTCCTAGATCAGCAACGCTTAAGACACTCGAGGCAAGTGGACGAATAAAGGAGATTGAATTTAGCAATAATGCGACATCGCAGCACATCACTGAGTTGGTCATGAATGCCTTTGGTCAACTTAACCAATCAAACATTTCCAGGTACTAGAACTGAAGCTATAACATAAATATCACTTTTGGTCTTTACAACAAAGACTTAATCCTGAGATTTGTGTTGTATTGTTATCAATATCTTCTTTTTTAGGCTTGTCTTGTATAAGACTGTTGGAAACACATCCGTTTTAAGCCGGGCTGGTAGAGCTGGAAACATCTGCGGAGACACCCTCAAGTGTATTTATAAATCTCGCGCAAAGGTGTTCCTTCGCTTAGAGGACGGTAAGAACATCTAAATCGTAAGCGACGTAACATTGAGCATAAGAACTCGGTATCCTGTTCGGCTGTTAATGTAGCTGTCAAATCACACTTTTATTTTACAAGGTAGCATTATTGGTGATCATATTTGAACGCAGCTAAACGCTTTGACGAACGAGCCATCGATAAGATAATTGGTGTATCTTTGTGATTCAATGAAATGGAAATAAATGGCCTTTATTCTTTAAAGCGCTTCTGAAATATGTAACTGGAATATATATGTTAAGGTGGCTCCCTATAGTTTTACGATCGCACGCGCGCTGGGGACGAAAGTTCAAGCAATCTGCGCGCGCTCGAAGGGAAACGTCAGTGTTTTTCTATATTTTATTACGTCAACATGAGCACAAAAAGCAAAACTGACAGTGAAATTTCTCGAGGTTCCTTCGGTGAAATTCCGTAAAATTTGGCAGACTGTTAATAAATATGTTACTTTAGTCGGAACTCGTTTTCCAGGGAAATCTATTAGTCCATTTTTTTAGCAGCGGTAAAAGACGTAAATCTGAAAAAATCTAAAAAACTGCCTTTACAAACCCTACTTTTTTCGTGTTTAAAATTTGTGTCCTGCTGGGTGCGATGTGCTGTGAAAATTTTGGAAGATTTCACCGAAGGAAATTTAAGAAAATCGCAAATAAAGCCTTAAAAACGGCAAAAAACACATTGATTTGGGCATTTATAATTTAAGACTTAAACCCAAAATTTTAACATAGACGGTACTAAAACACTATTTAATCATTGCTTATTACATTTGGCAAGTTTGAGAGGACTGGGTGAAAAACACAAATGCAAAAACAGCATTCAAAACATAACGCTTGCGCGCGCAACGCCATAAATGATTACCCTATGGAGCCACCTTAAGTGGTACGGCGCGCAAGAAAACCCACGCGTGACGCGTCGATTCATGAGTTATACATCGAGTTACGCGTGATCTGTGTGACCATTTGATCTTATGCATGTAAAGCAATTGGATTTCATTTTTTTCACAGAAAGTGGAGATGGTGCAGGGCCAAGTAATCAAGAAGCCGGCCAAAGTCAAGCTGAAGGTTCGTTGGAGTTGTTTATTCTATTTCTAAACACTAATTTGAGCATCAACTTAAACAGTTGTCTATGAAGTATTTGCTGACCAATTTTAAGTGATATACATATATACTTACATAGTTTTTAAATTCTTGATGCACAGGAGGAAATGCAGCAACTCAACAAATTGAGATTGAGGATGATGATTCCAGTACTGCCCTAGCTCCACAATTCGGTATGGTGCTTTTATTTGTCCTGTTGGTCATACTAGTCATATTGATGTGGTTGTTTGAGTGATGGTCAGTGCATTGCGTTTCTTTGTTGTGTGACAGACAAATGGCATTCAGTACGTGAGAAGTCATGTTGATGGTTTTTTAGTGATAATCATGAAGCATTGCATCTAGAACCCAGACAGCTTTCACCCATACAAAAAGGTTGTGTGTGCTACGACTGCCTTCCGGAACAAAAACATCGTGTCATGACAGAACCCAATCAGATGCCGTGTCCAAATTCGAAAGAATTGGAGCAATTTATTACAGGCAAATAACAAGTCTTAAAACTTCCATACAAGTCAACTGTTACATTGTACTTGTGTGTATCTTAATTGATAGTTGTGTTGCAATTACGAGATAAGGTTTTTAATTATATATTTACCTCACTCTTCAGATGATGACAGTGACGATGATTTAGGGACGCCAGTCTTCTCGTCCACTCCCACCCTAGTGCCCAAATGTACAGGTAAATCTTCTATCGTGATAACATGTCTACTTATAAGCTCAAGTTGTAATATTTGGAAAAGGTATGTCTGATGTATAGGCATTTAATATATTAAGACTTCAGATCTTAAGCGTTACCATTTGTGATAATGAGAAGTGCTTCATTTCGGAAGCCTCATGCCAGGACAGAGAGGATAAGTTAGGGAGAGAGTATTGATTACAGCTGTAGTTGCAAGTTATTCAGTTATGGGCAATGATTTTTTTCAACTTTCTTTTCAAAGATTTTATACAAAGGAAGGTGGAAAAGATTGTGGAGACATTTTATAGTAAGTCAAGATATAGTAAACAAGCACTATGACAGCTGAATGTATTAATGTTCTTGATATTCTTGACTTAATAATAATTTATTATTCTGGCATCAGCATTTGAAAGATAGATTTGAGAAAAAATTAAATGGGTACTCAATTGTATAGTGTTGGTCACAAAATAATTCCTATGTTAGAGTAAAAAGAAATAAATCAGCACCTTTCATATTTTGGGGTTTGATTTGTAGATTCAATCACTATCAGTGGTGCAGTGACGAAGGATGTTAATCAGAGTGCTGATCAGGCAACAGAAGGTAAATGTTGATGATCCTGACCAGTACTGTTAAGAAAAATATAACTTAAGTTAATTGATGTTTCATTAAAGACTGTGATGATATCAATATTGTGCCACAATCACACATAATTACAAGTGTCAAGAGACAACATGTATAATTACTCTGGTCACTAGTATAAATAAGTAATTAAGCCGTCATTCCTAAAAAATATCTCACGATCAGGCACTAAAGAAAATTATTATATGACCACCTCTGTAAGCGGGCAAGATGAACCGAATATCATGCTGTGATTAGCTTTGTCACGGTCATAAACACGCAAAAAAAAAAANGAAGCGGCAAGTTCCTATAGGCAGCCCAGTCATCTGAGTGAACCTCTGACCTCGGAAGAAGAACCCTTTGCAATATTTGAGTTAATGTCGCTCTATCTCGCCGTGGAACCACCTGGAAATAACCGCGGCATGGGTTATACTCTGTTGAGATAACTCCAAAAACCCATACGTCGTCCCTTGGTCTTCGCCCTCGTTGATACTACAAGGAAACAATTAATACTCAAGATTATACGTGGGAAGTAGCACTTCTTTTGTCAACTTCACTGGGCATTACTGTAATGCTTAAAATTATTTATTAAATGATTAAAGGTTTAACTGGAAATACTGGTTTCAGTTGTGTTAAGGTTACATATGTAGCATGTACAAGACCCTGACTTACCTTGGATTTATGTTTAAACTGGCTTTCGTCGCATTTTACAACGTACACTCTACCCCCGAATGGAATAACGGGTCTATCTTGTAGATCTCTTCCACAATAATGCCGAAGTAATGCGTAGATGTTCCCGACAGTATTCTTCGACAGAGTGAGCATATTTGCAACAGTCGTACGTAGCTCACGAACGCTCCAGAAATACATACACAAGAGAATTTTTCCCAACGGGACTCTTGACAGCTCTCCAAAGAAACTTCCAGTTCGGAGAGATTTCTTACGTCGGCAGGTAGAGCACCTCCTATGTGAAAAAGAAGCAACACATGCATTTTAAAAATAAATGTCTGTTCTTTCAGGCCCTGATTACAACCATGGTGCTAGGGTACCTTAGGACTCCCGCCTTCCTTTTTCTCCTTTGGGGGAGGGTAGCTAGGGTAACCTTAGCTGCGCACCAGGTAGCCTGCGTAGCAGACGTTTTCAAAAAACGCACAACATTATTTTGTGCCATAAAAAGCAAGGTGACAATTCGCAATTCAAGATTATTTCAGTTTGGCTTTGGATAGAACATTGTCAAAATTTTCTTCGTAAAGTTTGTCGATCGTCACTGTCGCATTGGAGAATTGTTGATAGTTTTCAGTCAAATTTATGCCAAACTAAGGAAAATTAATTGTTTTGGCATCGTGACATCTTTGAAGTAATTCAGAGCTCTTTGAGTTTTAATGCCGTAGCATGCAAGTGGTCAGGAGGTGGTCATTTATGATGGCGTTACTTTCGAGTAATAATTTAACTTTTATTTCCGGAAGAGCGTTACAATCAGAGTGGGACTCCCATCTCGATTACTAGTTTACTCTATGACACCCTCAAAAATAATCACGAATCGGGGATTGATGTATCATCAAAAAGTCTCACCCGAATTCACAAAGCGAGGAGGAGACTCCCTGTTGTAAGCTCGATTAACAGCCGCTGTTCGGGAAAGGAGCCCGCGCTCCTCCCCCGAAGGTACGTGTGCGGCCCGCTTCCGAAAACCCTTACCCATTTATGACCAAAATCTGCGATTTTCCATACCTTATTTATTTTTGACCTGACCAAAAATTTGATACCCTATTTATGATCTGACTCTTACGTAATTAGGGAAATGGCTTTATCTATCATGCGTAGCAGGCGTTAAACGGGGTAGAGGGCAAAGCGCAGATGGGAGAAGAAGGGCGTGATGAAGAAGTAGCTTCTTCTAAAAAAAACCGAATTGAAAACTAGAGTGCAAAAATCGATACCCTACTTATTAGCAAAATGGCGGCAAAATGGCTAAAATCGATACCCAATTTACGACCAAAACGGCTGAAAAACCGTACCCTTTGGGGCCGCACATACCTATATAGCCCATGTAAGGAAGTAGCCCCCACCCCCGGGGCTTTAGTACTGCAATTTTTTAAATAGAATACTAACCATAGATACCCATCCACGTGATCTTCATTCCTCTCAGTCAACTCCATTGCTCGATTGCATGGCCTGCATCTTAGTGGATTGGCCAGCAAATTGTGACCCTGCAACCATCGAATCAACTCTAAAATAGGACCGTTTGAAAGGGTCGTAATATCAATGAGGTTCATTGTTTGCCCAGTGCTGCGATATTGACAGTCTCGACGAATGGTCTCTAACACGGTACTTCCTGTAAAATCTCCAAATATGGTAATGATTCCAAACAACTCTGCACTGAAACATGAGTACCGTGGACCACGCGGCACATCGTATTGTCTTCCTTCGAATCGTTTAGTGTGGTGTACGCAGAAATTCCATAAGAATGTCGGACAAAGGTGGTCGAAAACCAAGAGCCAGGAATCTCTCCAGAACTTTTATACTTCTGAGATCAGATGATTCGAATAGTCGCGTTCCTAGATCAGCAACGCTTAAGACACTCGAGGCAAGTGGACGAATAAAGGAGATTGAATTTAGCAATAATGCGACATCGCAGCACATCACTGAGTTGGTCATGAATGCCTTTGGTCAACTTAACCAATCAAACATTTCCAGGTACTAGAACTGAAGCTATAACATAAATATCACTTTTGGTCTTTACAACAAAGACTTAATCCTGAGATTTGTGTTGTATTGTTATCAATATCTTCTTTTTTAGGCTTGTCTTGTATAAGACTGTTGGAAACACATCCGTTTTAAGCCGGGCTGGTAGAGCTGGAAACATCTGCGGAGACACGCTCAAGTGTATTTATAAATCTCGCGCAAAGGTGTTCCTTCGCTTAGAGGACGGTAAGAACATCTAAATCGTAAGCGACGTAACATTGAGCATAAGAACTCGGTATCCTGTTCGGCTGTTAATGTAGCTGTCAAATCACACTTTTATTTTACAAGGTAGCATTATTGGTGATCATATTTGAACGCAGCTAAACGCTTTGACGAACGAGCCATCGATAAGATAATTGGTGTATCTTTGTGATTCAATGAAATGGAAATAAATGGCCTTTATTCTTTAAAGCGCTTCTGAAATATGTAACTGGAATATATATGTTAAGGTGGCTCCCTGTAGTTTTACGATCGCACGCGCGCTGGGGACGAAAGTTCAAGCAATCTGCGCGCGCTCGAAGGGAAACGTCAGTGTTTTTCTATATTTTATTACGTCAACATGAGCACAAAAAGCAAAACTGACAGTGAAATTTCTCGAGGTTCCTTCGGTGAAATTCCGTAAAATTTGGCAGACTGTTAATAAATATGTTACTTTAGTCGGAACTCGTTTTCCAGGGAAATCTATTAGTCCATTTTTTTAGCAGCGGTAAAAGACGTAAATCTGAAAAAATCTAAAAAACTGCCTTTACAAACCCTACTTTTTTCGTGTTTAAAATTTGTGTCCTTCTGGGTGCGATGTGCTGTGAAAATTTTGGAAGATTTCACCGAAGGAAATTTAAGAAAATCGCAAATAAAGCCTTAAAAATGGCAAAAAACACATTGATTTGGGCATTTATAATTTAAGACTTAAACCCAAAATTTTAACATAGACGGTACTAAAACACTATTTAATCATTGCTTATTACATTTGGCAAGTTTGAGAGGACTGGGTGAAAAACACAAATGCAAAAACAGCATTCAAAACATAACGCTTGCGCGCGCAACGCCATAAATGATTACCCTATGGAGCCACCTTAAGTGGTACGGCGCGCAAGAAAACCCACGCGTGACGCGTCGATTCATGAGTTATACATCGAGTTACGCGTGATCTGTGTGACCATTTGATCTTATGCATGTAAAGCAATTGGATTTCATTTTTTTCACAGAAAGTGGAGATGGTGCAGGGCCAAGTAATCAAGAAGCCGGCCAAAGTCAAGCTGAAGGTTCGTTGGAGTTGTTTATTCTATTTCTAAACACTAATTTGAGCATCAACTTAAACAGTTGTCTATGAAGTATTTGCTGACCAATTTTAAGTGATATACATATATACTTACATAGTTTTTAAATTCTTGATGCACAGGAGGAAATGCAGCAACTCAACAAATTGAGATTGAGGATGATGATTCCAGTACTGCCCTAGCTCCACAATTCGGTATGGTGCTTTTATTTGTCCTGTTGGTCATACTAGTCATATTGATGTGGTTGTTTGAGTGATGGTCAGTGCATTGCGTTTCTTTGTTGTGTGACAGACAAATGGCATTCAGTACGTGAGAAGTCATGTTGATGGTTTTTTAGTGATAATCATGAAGCATTGCATCTAGAACCCAGACAGCTTTCACCCATACAAAAAGGTTGTGTGTGCTACGACTGCCTTCCGGAACAAAAACATCGTGTCATGACAGAACCCAATCAGATGCCGTGTCCAAATTCGAAAGAATTGGAGCAATTTATTACAGGCAAATAACAAGTCTTAAAACTTCCATACAAGTCAACTGTTACATTGTACTTGTGTGTATCTTAATTGATAGTTGTGTTGCAATTACGAGATAAGGTTTTTAATTATATATTTACCTCACTCTTCAGATGATGACAGTGACGATGATTTAGGGACGCCAGTCTTCTCGTCCACTCCCACCCTAGTGCCCAAATGTACAGGTAAATCTTCTATCGTGATAACATGTCTACTTATAAGCTCAAGTTGTAATATTTGGAAAAGGTATGTCTGATGTATAGGCATTTAATATATTAAGACTTCAGATCTTAAGCGTTACCATTTGTGATAATGAGAAGTGCTTCATTTCGGAAGCCTCATGCCAGGACAGAGAGGATAAGTTAGGGAGAGAGTATTGATTACAGCTGTAGTTGCAAGTTATTCAGTTATGGGCAATGATTTTTTTCAACTTTCTTTTCAAAGATTTTATACAAAGGAAGGTGGAAAAGATTGTGGAGACATTTTATAGTAAGTCAAGATATAGTAAACAAGCACTATGACAGCTGAATGTATTAATGTTCTTGATATTCTTGACTTAATAATAATTTATTATTCTGGCATCAGCATTTGAAAGATAGATTTGAGAAAAAATTAAATGGGTACTCAATTGTATAGTGTTGGTCACAAAATAATTCCTATGTTAGAGTAAAAAGAAATAAATCAGCACCTTTCATATTTTGGGGTTTGATTTGTAGATTCAATCACTATCAGTGGTGCAGTGACGAAGGATGTTAATCAGAGTGCTGATCAGGCAACAGAAGGTAAATGTTGATGATCCTGACCAGTACTGTTAAGAAAAATATAACTTAAGTTAATTGATGTTTCATTAAAGACTGTGATGATATCAATATTGTGCCACAATCACACATAATTACAAGTGTCAAGAGACAACATGTATAATTACTCTGGTCACTAGTATAAATAAGTAATTAAGCCGTCATTCCTAAAAAATATCTCACGATCAGGCACTAAAGAAAATTATTATATGACCACCTCTGTAAGCGGGCAAGATGAACCGAATATCATGCTGTGATTAGCTTTGTCACGGTCATAAACACGCAAAAAAAAAAAAAACTTGGTCAATATCCAGTCATCTATCTCAACCTCCTGTTGGTCAATAACCCATATTTATCATCAAGGCTTCGGTCTGGGAAAAATTTTGAGGAGCCCAAAGTTACGTAATATTGATTAAATCACGATCAAGTGCCCATCATTAATACGCTCATCAATGAAAAAGCTTTTTTTAAAAAAATGCAGATAGACCAAGGAACTCACCAGAATTACAGCAAAGTACAGTCTTAACATTTTTAAACCTGTCTGTGGTTACAGTTACACAATGTGAAAATTTATGTTCAAAGATTAATGCACTTTAAATGACAATCCAATTACAATACACAGTACTGATTTAAATAATCACATTGATTTCCATTTTTAGTTGGAACTGTAGAAGAGGAGTGCAATCATCTGATAGGTGCTGAAGCAAGTGAGTTGATAAGTGCAATTTTTATCATCAATTTACAAGTCACTTTAAGTTAGGTTTTAAATTTTTGCAGTGAACCCAGGTGATGGCTCAGGTGAATCATGGTATTGCATCCTAACCCCTTTGCTGGCACTGCACTACACAAACATCTATTAAATAGAAAACTGGCCTAACAATTCTTCTGCACTCTAACAACAATGAGAGTCCTAGTACTAAACTGTGGTTTTGCACTCAGTGCATATTTGTCTCATTATTACAACTATACATACATTTCCTCAGATGAATCAGCAGGACCTGCATATGATGTGCAGCTCTTGACAAAGTTGATGGAAGCGTATAAAGTACCACAAAGGCTCCAGTTTCTCTGCCTTAATGCTCAGGAAGTAAGTGATAGCAAATTCACGTTATGATAATTATAGATTTGTCAAACAAGAACCTGAGGTATCGACTGTGAATGCATGTTCATGACACACCAAACTTTTTTGCTAATAGCACATAAGTGCATTAGTACACAAATTTTGAAAGTGAATATGAAGATCTAGAGGGTTTCATCTCGGACGGGGCTGCACCCCCTGCATCTCCCTCTAAATCTGCCTTAGAAGAATAAGCATGTGAAGTTTGCTTGGGCCTGAGTGGTACTCAAAAAAAGAACTATCTTATTTTATCCCATTAAGTTGTGATGACTGTTTGATTATGATTATTTAGAAGTATTTGCGGCAGGGCAGATTGCTTTAAGTGTGTACATATTTTATGCAAAGTAGGCCCAAGCGAGGGAGTGTAAACTAAATATCTGTCAAAAAGTTGTGTTATGATGTTATTAAGCTTAATTAGTGTTATAAAGTAAAAATCCCGGATTTAAAAAATACATGTATAAGAGTACAAATCCCCAAAACACGTAGAGGTATATGCGGGATATAATAATTTAACAGCAGAGTTTCTTATAATTTCTCAGATGAGGAGGCAGAGCCATGAAGATTGCACTCCACTAGTCCACCAGTCCGAGTAGTCTGGGTATGCTGGTTTAATCGAACTGAGATACGGCCAATGTCTTAGTAAAGAACCTTACTTGCAACTTACTTTGGACTTGTGGTTAAACTTTGATTCATCGATTTGCACAATGATCCCCGGTCCTCCGAGTCTTGGAATCGAGTGCAATAAAAGCGTTTGCCACGAAATTTTGCAGCAATGTCTTGCAAACTTTACCAACGCCTTTCTTTTTGCTATCCCCCTTCTGCCATAACCTTCAAGGAGTCTTTACGGGACCATTTTCAGAGGAAATGTGTTTGCCGTTGCAGTGAGATTTTGCTTCCAGCAAAAAAGGAATTCACTCTGACTGACTTCTTAAGTTTGCATCGGCTACATTCCCTGAAACGAAAATTGCCCGAAAAGAAAGACATTGTATTAATTGAGAAAACCTCACCATTTCAAGTTAAATGGTTCAATTTTTGGCCTTTAAGAGTCCCTGCCCATAAAAATGAAACATAACTTGGCAAGGGTCGAAAATTCGATTTCGCTCATATTTTTATGGTAGATAGGCTAGGGCATGGCAAGTGTCACTGGATAGTTTTTTTGGCGAAATATCCTTTTATTTCAAAGAAAAATGCAAATTACCAAATTCCGTCAAAATCGTCATTTGACGCGCCATTTTATTAAACAAGTTTGAAAGCCTCGCATGCAAAACCACATTATTCTTCTGTCTTTAAAACACTCAAATAGTTTTGTGCAATGTTTAAATGTGTANCGTTATGACAGCTTGTCGTATCTTCTTGTTCACATGGTCATGCATGTTTTACACTGTAGTATTTAACCATTTTCCTTTTGTTGTGAACAATACCGTATAGGAGCCTCATTAACTATTACTTTTTTTACCTTTTTGGTTCAGATCATTAATGACGACAATAGATCTTTTGCCACAGCTGGCCAATTGCTATGTACATGTAGCTTTGAAAGGGAGCCAGTTTGACGAGGAAGGTAACTAATTTGTGGTATGCTACAATTACATATGTTACAGGGCTCAAAATAATTTTTGAATGGTGGCCAGTGGTGTTAATTATAATTTGAAAGTGAGGTACCTGACCAGTCAAAATGACTGCCATACCAAAATTTTGTCTGGACAAATATTCATTTTGGCCAGACACTGTCCATTGACTGGCTGTTATGAGCAAGGCTGATGTTGCTTTAAACTAATTCTTTGTATTATTTGATACTACCTTACAACACTTGCAAAAAGGTGATGTGTCCTTTGATTGCTATATTGTAGCATGTGGAAAGCAGGGAATCTTCAACAGTGGAAGTGACATCCAGGTGCACATAATGCATCCAACAGCATCGGCAGCTAGGATGGTTGTAGGAAACATTTTGACAGGTGATCATAATGCAATACTACCTTGCTTGTGTATGTGTGTGTGTGTGTCAAATGTTAATTTGAGATAAGAGGTTATGTCACGAGTGGCCCTCTTTTAGCCTTGTTTAAAAAGTGCAAATTGTAAATTTCTTGAGAAAGAAACTACCAAAGCAGAAGAGATGAAAAGAACCCCCTTAGTAAAAACATTATGCAGTGGTTCCTGAGGTTTGAGAAGAAATGATATGTACATGTAGGTTGTGAATGGGAAGTAATCACATGCTTAGACATGCTAATGGAAGTGTTATATTTAAAATTCCCATTGAAGGAGAGGAAGACAACTTCCTTGTTCAATTGAGCGATTCAATCCAGGATGCTCAGGAAGCTGCCGAGGCTATCAAAGCAAACAGGTAAGACTAGTATTATTAGTTAGGTTTCCTGTATTGAATGCTATTTTGGCTTAATGAATGTAGAAGTAATACTTTTGTCACTTTTTATTAGAAGGAAGGTAGAGTTAAGTACTGTTATTATAAATGAATTGAGGAACGCCTGTTAAGTTTTCTGCTTCTACACTGTATCTCCTCCACTATAATAAAATATTCTCCATTCTCTCCAGTAGTAATTGTTAAGCGAGTAGGGAACATGATTTATTCTTTTTGTGATGTATTCTTACATGCATTTTAATCATGCAAAATGAATCTTAAACAGCAAAAGTCAAAAGTATGACTTATTGCTTGTGGAACATTAGTGTCATTGGTGTATTAAACAGTAATCATTCATGATTACATAGTGCATGAGAGTCTTTTGAAAGAAATTTGTTCTAGATGACACTTTTCCAATCTAATCTGCCAAATGCAAGAACTGTCACAATTTCTGTTATTACAACATTTTAATTGTAATCAATATTAATACAAACTGGTAAATTATTACAGGGAACTTTTACAGCAAAACAGAGTAATACGGAGGCGACAAGAGGCGGAATTATTACTATCGGTAAGTTTCAATTGAAAACGCTGATCGTGCTCAATTTTTAACCAAATTTGAAAATATTCAATGGTACAGACATGGGTAGAAATTTGAGGGAAATTGACATCGAAAAGGGATGAAACAGGTTTGAAAGTTCTGCCGAACATTTTCAGGAGCAGGAAGACCAAAGAAAACATGCAGAAGAAACCCAAGAAAGTCAAAATGAAACAGTTGCTGATGATGACGAGGTAAGTGTTATTCCTTACAGTTAAAGTGTACCCCTCAAGAATACATAAATGAATTCATTACTTGAATATTGAACCCACTAGCCTTTTCAAGACTGCAATCTTGTAATTTTTTCACTATTGCACTCGCTATAGTCATTTCAAGATTCAATGATATCAAATTCATTTTTTTAGTTAATTATAAAACCCATTATATGTACATGTATATTCGGGTAAAGTAGCACTGACAGTAATCAATTCATCATTGCATTCTCGAAACGTCTAGTGCATTCAAAATTTGAATAATCGATTCATTAAATAAAATGTAATATTGAGGGGTATGCCTCAATTGCTTGTACTGCAATATTTAATTTAATCATACCAATGCAGAACGTATTTCGAGCCACATTTCCTACCATTTGCATAATCCACAGGCACTAACCACAGGTAAGCAAGTTAGGTAAAAAGTTAACCTGTTGATTATTATTGTAGCTAAAAACTCATGAAATTATTTGTTTTAACTCCTTCCAGGTTCGACGCAAAAGGTTGTTAGCTTTAGATGCCCAGGTACAAATTATACTCTAGTAATTATCATAGATTAAAGAGACTCTGTTCGAGCGTGGGAAGGTAAAGCAAAACTTCCCTGTTCTAACAGCGTTTTGTGCATGAGCTGCTAGATGACATGACATTGGGCTCCTTCCAGCAGGGGCGGAAACAAATAAATTGGTCACTAAGCATGTGAACATGTATGGGTTAAAGTAATATCAGTTACGACCAGTCAGTACAAAATACGCAGTGATTAAAGCGTGATTTTAAGAGGTTTAAACAAGGGACAGAAGAAAGAAATCTATTTTGGCGACAAAGCCAAAAACTGATGCATGTATTTCATCATGCAAAATAGTCGTAGCCTCAAAGAGACCTTTGATTTGAATTTCAATTGTATTTCTAACACCTGAACAGTTAAGCTAAAGTAATCGGTCAAACACTAAGATTTGTTATCAACTTCAAAGGATTGTTACTGAAGTTTCAAAATACATCATGGTAAAGGTAAAGACACTCAAGGATGTAAGACATTTTATTTGTTTGTTTTAGGTTGGCACTTCGAAACGCCCCCGGGAAGAGAGTTCTGTGGCCGATGATAGTGGAACAGTAAGGAAGTTGTTTGGAATCCAATACGTTTTTCATTGTTTGGGCTAAAATAATTTTATGATTGTTTACATCATCATCTACCCACTTTCCCCTTCCCTTCACAGTTAAAAAATAGATGAACCTAATCACCTTAAATCGATGCAGGGGGCACCATCGTTCATTCGTCCATAACAGAGGCAAGAAAAGTAACTTAAATTTCTAACTTGCCCAATTGCCAAGGACCTAGGCAAGTAATCTGCAATCTAATTTTAAAAAAAAGGAAACTAAGACTTGCCCAGGGCAAGCAAAATTTGAGTGCTGCTTGTCAGAATGGCAAACTGGAAAAAAAGGTTTTTCTCGAGTCCTGAGTTTCTTCACTTTCTGATACTTAATGGTACTCTTAACTGGGCTTTATCATCACTGAAAATTAAAAGTAAATACATTCTTCTTTGATTTTATTTTCAGGTTACATTCAGGATATAACTTAGCTGTATCATTGATAAATCAGTGAGAAAATGCTGGTTAAATATTAAATAAATGAACAAATAAAAATAAAAAAAATAGAACTTTTAGCATTTCACCACTGAATGAAAAGAATCTTTTTGACCTTTTTGAAACTACTTTATTACTACACAATTACCTTAGTTACCTTAGTTATCAATGATATGTAGATGATTAATGGGTCAATATTTTTACCAAAATGCGAATCCATGTAGGAGTTAAAGACAGTCGATTTAGTTTTGTTACAAGTATTGCATTAAGAAACTTTTAAAGTTGTATGAAGTTGATAGTTTAACAGGTTGGCCATTGCAATCATTGCATCTGTATTTCAAAAACATCGAATCATTGCTGT